GATGGAGCAAGAGGTTCAAAAGAGACCCTCCCTGATTTCTCGGGGGTGTAAAGGAGACAGGAGGAGAACTGTACTTTCAGACTTGCAAGATTCTGTTAATGTAGCCTTATAATAAAGTAGAATTAGCTCATCTGGTCATGTTTCCTGTCTGGTCTACTTGGTAAGGCTGACAGGGTTGTACCGGTTCAGACAGGAAAACACCCCCAAATCAGCAGCTTGCTTACATACCAGCTGGGAAATATAAAAACAGTAGAGTAATCTCTAAAAGATGAAAACAAGCTAACAAACCAAAAAAAACCCCCTTCCCTCTTCACATTCCCAGAAAAAAAAAGGTGGGAGGGAGAGATGTCCACCCGTCTGTCCATATGCATGACATGGCTCTGTCCAGTTTGCCCTGTGTTCCTTACAAGGTACTTGCAAGGTACAAGCTTACTCGGTTTCAAAAAAAAAATAAAATTGGGTGGAACCTCCAGCCACCAAAAGCATTTCCATTCCTAGTATAATGTATCTCCATGGGAAGATCCAACCCCTATTCTTGCTTGTACATCAGCACATGCAGACTTATCCGTATAGCAAACTTACGTACACCATGTCACGACACTTTTCTAATAGCTTTGGTGTTTGTTTTGTCTTTATATCTCCATATCTGTTTATATCTATAGATACGTAGATATTAAAAGAAGAGGGAGAAAAAAGAAAGATCCATAGAGATTACAAAATACAGATATTACATGGAAAGTGTTCTGTGTTTTTATTATATTTTTTTTATTGTTGTATGGTGTAAACCCTCCAGAGTTCTACAGATTGGGGCAGCCTCTACATTCCCAAAATAAATAAATAGAAACTTTGCAGAGCAAGGTAGGTAAAATTAAAAGGTAGTAGAGACCGTCCCATTGGAAGAAACATCTCACTTTTATCCTTCATCCAACTTGGATTACAAGAAACATATCGTTTTGTGATAAACTATTGTGAGTTTGGGAGTGATCCAGTAACAACTCCTTAAACAACCAATGGGAATTTAATATAATGTGGTCCCTGGGGCCCATACTTTAATGGTGAGGAAAACCTCTTACTTTTGATAGCTCCGTGAGAAAGATTAGATCAGGCTAGGAACTGCTTGCTTATGATCAGCAGGTAGCTGTAATGTGGCTGGTTTGATTTTGGCTTAGAATGAAGTACAAGCTCATGAAATACATGGGGTTCAGTCTTCGGTGTCCTTCTGATTCTCAGCTGCTGTGCACTGAATTTCTTTTTCTTCTCCAACTTTAGCATGTTCTGACATCTGTTCTATTCCCATATTCAGGACAGACTCTTTTAGGAGATTTGTTGATTACTGCTTGCAGAAAATACCTCAGGAACGTCCGTCATCATCAGAACTTTTGCGGGTAATGTTTCACCTTTCTGCTTTGGAAAATATGTGTAATGGGGAGGCAGTTGACTCACCTTTTAGGTTTCCTTTAGAGAGTGCCTACCTTTCTCCCTTATCTGATTCCACCCATAGAAATTTCTCTTCAGATGTATTAGACTAGCATGAGTGAACCCAAGTGTTCTCATTCAATCGCTGCTCCCTCTTTTTACATCTTTTCCCTCAAGCCAAAAGGATTCTGGGGATTTGAGAGATGAAAACATCAGTAGATGCATAGTGTTATAGCAGCAGAAATAGAAGTAAGGGTAGAGTGAGTGGAGTAGAAGAGGTGATAACATTGGAGACCAAGAAGCAGACATACTGTGAAATCTACTTCCTTGTTTGGTGAAGGAAAGTAGGCTGGTCACCAGTCACCAGTACATAGTCTTGAGTCCATATGAACAAGGGCGTATCTCATCAACAATATGACATCCGTCTACAGAACCCCCACTGAACTTTTGATTAAAAAAAAAAAACTCTTTAAAATGGCCAAATTTTCATTGGGGTGCTAAATTTCATGATAATTCAGTGTTCTTGCATGAGGTCTCATAAGACTTCTGGGTGAAATTGCCCAACCCTCTTAAGATATCTTCCATTTTATTATTATTTTTAAATGGTGAGATGGACAACGACAACGATGATGATGCATATGATGATGAAATGGTGTATATGATAGTGCCCGCTGCCTAGGGAGGTTGCTGACTCTGGAATGCCATGATGGGTAGTTCATTGGAATGAATTGATCTCTTAACAAATATGTCTTACAAGAATAGAAACTGAAGAATTCAGCAATTATTTGTACCTCCTTGGGGAGAATTATCATTTTGTGCCATTGCTTTCTTTTTGGCACTGTCTTCTTTTGAAAAACCTCCCCAAATTAGTGTTGATTTCCAAAGTCCAGGGTGCAGACAAAAAACCTACCATGATACCGCTTACCTTGACTGTCCTTTTAACCTAGGATGTCACAATTTAAATAAAACTGTTTTTCCCCAGTTGCAATTGGTCATTTTCAATTACTGTTTTCTACTGTAGTATAGAGAGACACCCTTCCGATGTGCACAGATTTGCTGGGTGGGTGGTCTTGTTCTGTGTCTTTTGTTTTCTCATCCAGAATGCTCCTGTTATCCTTCTAATACCAGCATGAATTTGTACGATGTGAGCGGCCACCTCGTGTTCTAATAGACTTGATTCAAAGAACAAAGGATGCGGTGAGAGAGCTGGATAACCTTCAGTATCGGAAAATGAAGAAAATCCTTTTCCAAGAGGTCCACAATGGCCCTCTGAATGAGTCTCAGGAAGAGGAGGAGGTACCAAGTTTATCTATACCACGGATGAATAATAATGTGTCTCATGCTTCAGAGGGTCCCTTTCAAGTCCTTTTTCACGTGTCCCAGCATGACATGAGGAATTTTGTTGTGACCAAGAACGTCTTGCATCTGGCTTCTGGGTGCTGATGCATTTCACTTTGTCATTGAGACAGATGGGAGCGGAGCATCTGTAGCAAATAAAGTTTGCTCTCAGACATTGGTCACAACAATGGAAAAAAAGAAACGTAATTAGACCCCAAAGCAATTGTAAACAAGGAAAGTGGGGAGGGACTGGTAGAAGTAGTTGCCATTTTGTACCTGGAGTAAAGAAGGTGGGTCAAGATGTTCTCCTTTGTGACAATTGAAAGTAAAGGTGTTTCAGTCCAGCAGAGTTGATGGGGGATCCAGCCCAGTTAGAAAGAGCTTCTTCTACTTACATTGCTGTATTAAAATGAGATGGAGCAATGGCCACTCATTCCAGCTTTAAATGGGGATTAGACTAATCCATGGCAAATGCGCCCGGCAACCGGTAGAGACTTCTCAGTATTAGAGAACATTGTCCCGCACAGGCTCTTCTTCTTTGTGGCAGATGGTGACCCTTTTTCCATACAATACTGGGTTAGTGAGTTAACTTCAAGGGGTGGCTTTTAGAAAAAAGGAAAGCAGGCACAAGGAGGTTTCCAAGGATCGGGTCAACCGACCGGTGGCCCTGGCAAGTTGCCTTTGGTAAGCAAATTAAGTAAAAGAGGCCCCAAGTAGATTTCTCAGCATGGGGCTGCTCGGAGGTTGTATCTGTATGGAGGAAGCATCATGGAATATATTTGGGGTAATCGGGTATCTCCAGCTGTAGGTGGTTCAGGATATTTAAATATATGCATGTCTCTGTCCTGGTCTTGGAGGTTCCTGATGAGTGATGAAGAAGACTTGTTAGCCCCAGAGGTTTCCTAGTCTAATACGTTGTAGAACAGGGATGGACGTGATCCACTTCTGAACCTTTGTCATGGATATACCAGACACTTTTCCCAAAGAAGAGACTCCTGGAGCAATTACGGGGAGGGGGGTGTCTTTGGGTTGTGGAAGTAGTAGGCAGATTCTTTAGACCACAAGAAAAGTTTCTCTGGAGCCAGTGCTATTGGTTTAAAATAAACAAGGGCCATTGAAAAAAGGCCTCTCGAGTCCTGTAACCAAGATTCTTTATCCATATATTTTACCACAAACATGCCCACTGACTAGCCAGGGAGAGACAGATTTTGGAGAAGCATCATTCAGTTGTGATTGGATGTGAATTCCCCTCACCACGGCATTCTTCTGGAGTGGTCCCGACAAACTGGCTCTTTGTTCCTTCACGTAATCATTGCATGCAGCATGCAAACTTGAGGACTTGTAAGCATGTCCAAAGCCTTCATTTGCTTCTTGTCAATGGCATTCATATGGCTGCTTGAGCAACACATGGCAGATATTACCAAGGCTGCATAGCAACTAACATTTTTTTACCATCTCTTGCTCTCTCTAACCAAGTAACTATTTCCAAGTTGCCATTAAAGTAGATGTGAAATGGTTTCCATGCGTGATTCTCCCCTTCCATACCTGACGCATAATAGATGGGATTTTGAGGATACTTAGCCAAAAAGAACAGCAACCATTCTATATGTGTAAGAGAGGAAATAAACTTCTGCAAATCACATTTTTCAAGAAACAGCATTTAGCAGGTCCCTGGAAGCTACGTTTGTCTCTAGTAAACGCGTTCCATGACACGTCATGGAACGTGCTTAAAATGGATTTTCCTGTGGCCACGTGGTATTTTCTACCCCTTGCACATAATGTTGTGTCTTTCAGAGACTTTCAAGTGGTAGATCTTAAAGAGGCAGGTCCAGGTTTCATGTCGAGCTGCATTAAATATTAACTAGCTTTCAGTGTTGGGGCTGAAGCAAGCCATTTCTGCAGAATAATTAACTCTCCATCCTCCATCCAAGAAGATTGGATGAATGTTCTTTTTTTGCCCCCCCCCAATCCTGATCATTGCCATTTCCTTCTGAAGTTACAAAGTATTTTGGATTTTTGTTTTTATTTTGTGTGTGTCCACGCCTTTGGGTGAATGTTAACTCCTAACAACTGCCTGGTCAATCCCTGCAGCTGTCTTGGCAACATTTTCAGAAGGGGTTTGCCCTGGCCTTCTTCTTCCTAGGGCTGAGAGAGCAGGACTGGCCCAAGGTCCCCCAGCTGGCCTCATGCCTAAGGCAGGACCAGAATTTACAGTCTTCTGATTTCTAGCCGGGTGCTTTTAACTACCACACCAGACTGGCTCTCTTACTCCTGAACAGCCACATGAAACATCCCAACATCCAGATTTGCAGATAAGGCCGGGCCTGGTGACGACAATCAAAAGTGAAGATGAGGGATGCTCAGCATAAACAAAGAAATGGTTTTGCAAAGAATGTTTGAATTGTTTGCTTTCATAAGGGGCCCTTTGGAGCAGTTTTATTTATTTATGTATTCAATTTATACAGCTGCCCGTCTCACATTCGTGACTCTGGGTGGCTTACAATTAAAAGATCAATAATGCCCCCCAAAACCCAAAATAATGCCCCCAAAGATCAATAATGCCCCCCAAAACCCCAAAAATAAAACAACCATGCAAACGATGTTTAAACCATTAAAAACCATACAATACAGTCACCAGGAGAGCCCAGTCGTTCAAGAACTATACAGCCACTTTATGGGCTCCGCACCGCTCTGATTCCTCCATGAGCATTATCCCATATTTAGGAAAACTGGTGGGAACTTAAATATTCTGGCTTCTCGGCAGATCTGTAAATCTGAAAGACACTAGCTCAATCATCAGATGAGAAGAGAGTTTTTTTTATAGCGAAGTGTTGTTGTTTTTTAAGCTACCTGGAGATAACGAAGATGGCGAATCAAGGAAAAAGATTATTTTTCTTATTCCCCCCTTTGCTTTGAGATTTTTGTATACCAGACCTATAAATGACTAAAGATCAGGCTATGCTGTGGAACTGACTGGAAATAACTGGGTGTGATTTGCAGCATTTTGAGGACAGGGTTGTAGTTTTGCTCTACAAATTTGGGTTCGACAGTACTGCCTCCCTCATTTCATTGCTATTAGAATTAAAACGAGAGACACTCGACCAGTCTTTTCCAACTAAAAGTTATAAGCTTTGTGACGAAGGGAGTGGTAGCACGCAAAAGCCTGTGCCTTTTAATAAAATGTGTTAGTCTTGAAAGACGCTACTAGATTCCTTCTGATTTGAACCAGTAGACCAAAACAACTTTCCTCCTACAGTGGCTAGTCATCTTTGAGTTTGGAGTATCCCACTTCAGTGCCATTTTATAGAGAGGCCATACTATTAAATGCAGAATACAGTTGTGCTCATAAGTTTACATCCCCCTTGCAGAATTTTTTAAGCGGGGACCACTTGGTAAGTCAATACAAGTGATCAGACAAAACTTTTTTTTTTTAATTTCCTTTATTGCTATAGCTCGTTTGACGATCGTGCTATTCTGTGATGCCTCATAGTTTAATCTGAATCCCAATTTTTTTAAAAAATGTGTTTTGTCTGATCACTTATGTTGACTTACAAAATGGCCCGCATCTTACAAATTCTGCAAGGGGGATGTAAACTTATGAACACAACGGTAAGTCTACACTCTCCCCCCCTATTTTTATTAAAACGTTTTTTGGGGGGAAAAAAAGAGTAGAGGCAAAAAATAAAAATAAAACAGAATAAATAAACGGGATTTGCATGCATCGTAGAACACACACACACATCTATATATACATATAAATATAAATAAATAAGGGGACGCTAGCAAGCAGTCCCTAATTTGTTATCTAATTGAACCAATAACTTCCATTTCATTTAAAGTTAGCCCTTTTCTTTCCCATTTCCTTCCCTCTTTGTTCAAGGTTTTAAAAATATGTCATCGTTGACATATCAAGATCTTCCTTAACCTTCAGAGATGCTCCAACGCCTTTTTCAAAGTTTTCAAAGAGGGGGAAATTCTCCTCCCTTTTGCAAATCTTGTGCATGCTTGCAGACAAACGTAGCCCTCTTTTTAACAAAAATAGCCAAATAACAAACATTTCACTGGAAGCATAGCAACAGAGATGCAGCTTTATTTTGGAAAAAAGTGGAAAACCTCCTGAGACCCAGAGGGAGTTGGAAATCTCCACTGTTCTTTTGGCTGACCCGTCCTGGGAGAATCTGGAATAACTTTCCTAATATTTCTTGGAAGGAATACTTTTGGGTCAGTCATCTCCTGTAGCGTTTCCTAAAGTCTAGCATTTCCTAATGCTGCCCAAGCAATCCTGGTTTATGCAAAAGAGGAGCACCGCAGCATAACATCTAGCATTTCCTAACGTTACCCTAGCCCATCTTGGTTTATGCAGAGTACAGAACTGGAAAAGACCAACGGGTTTGCAAAACATCACAGTTGACCCTGGGTAGCATGCATTAGGGAGAAGCCTGTTTGGTTTCTACCATCTCCACCATCCTTTTTTTACAAGAGAAGGAGGAAATGATCTGGAAGTAGATGAAAACTATATGATCCTGCAGAATACGCACTGCAGAAGCGTATATCCTAGAGTTTGTCTCCCTGTTGTTGGTAGTGGCTCCTTCTACCATTACGTTAAACCTCCCGCTCCTTGTTTTGTAGGACGGTGAGCATGGGACAAACCTGACTAGCAAGATGGACAGTCTGGGCAGCAATCATTCAATCCCCAGCATGTCTGTCAGCACAGGCAGTCAAAGCAGCAGTGTCAACAGCGTGCAAGAGGTTATGGAGGACAGCAGTTCTGAGCTGGTTATGATGCATGACGAGAGCACCATTAATTCCACTTCCTCTGTTGTGATTAAGAAGGTACGTTGGGCTGGTGCTTCCTCCCCTGTCTCAGGTGATCTCTACTTTATTGCGCTTCCTTTTCAGGTCTTTGAAGGCACCTCGAGTTAATCAGTAGAGTGTCTTCCAGAAAACCTACTTTAAGAGCATAGGGCCAGCCCCCTTGCGGGATTCAGGGCGGCTCCCTGACATTCCTTTCAAAATGTAGGTGCAGGATGGTGTCCAGGCAGCCGATAGAAGGGCAGATCTTTGGTAGCATTGAGTTGGGGGAAACAAACAGGAGAAGGTTGGCAGCGCGTGGAAACTTCTAAGATCCAGCTTTCAGAGAATGTTTGTAGATCTCTACCCTGTCCTGCTCTCATTGTGCACTTCAACACTGCATGTATATCTCTGTCCTTTCCTATAACACCACCTTGTCTTCTGAAGTTTGTCTCCCCCAAGTGGTTGTCGTGTGGTTGAAATGGTCACAGTCACTAAACTAACACAGTAACTTCAGTAATTTCCTGCCCAATCCTGATCAGCACATGGATTCTTCTCTTGACAAAATAGCTGCTCATGGATCACTCCGAGAAGGTACGTTTTTCAGGGTTAAAATCAGTACAGTGTTCCGATTGCACTGGTTCCCCAATCCCACCTGATCTCATGGGAATGATCCTTCTGACCCACTGCAGCTTCTGTTGGGTGGATCCATTTAGACAAAGCCCAGTGAGGGATGAATGAAATGAAGCACATCAACTCCTTCATTGCATTTGAGAGAGTCTGAAGGCTGCCGTCTTGAGCTGCCGAGAGTAATTTTCATTACTGCAGGGCAGAAGTCAGTTTAAAAAAATAGTTGAAACAGTGAGTTGGTTCAGCAACTCAGAACTAAGAAGCATTATCTGGGGCAATGTTTCTCAACCTTGGCATCTTTAAGATGGGTGGACTTCAACTCCCAGAATTCCCCAGCCAGCATTGCAGAAGACGCCAGTATCTAAGAGGGAAAAGATGAGGTCTCTCCCAAAATGAATGCAGGAATAGTGAGGAATGAAATTAGTTCCAATGTTAAGTAAGAATCAAATGATACATAGATGGGCAAAGAATCTGAACTTTACACATTCATTGACAGAAGAAATGTAAACTCATTCTACGGTAGCAGTGTCTAATAGATGCAACATATATTTTGTTAATAACAATTTTGAATCTCTAGAAGGTTGACATACAGATGCCAAAATGGCCTTTGACATATGTTCAGATATTCTAATTTTTTTTAAGTTCCAGGCCTTTCCATACTCTTTACTATCTAATTTAGTTTATTGTGACTTCCATTTATACTGGCTATAATAGGGTTATTTTATAAAGTGCTTAAATTCCCTAGTGCAAGACAGGCTTTGGAAGAACCTGGGGATCCTACCAAACACTTAAACATCAAAATATACAGTATCTTAAATGAAGATACTGCCACTCTGTACTTTTTCATGAATTGCACTTAGATCGCACCTACTCAAACAACAACCATGCATAATCTAATGTTATTAATTCATCTGGACTCTGATTTCACTCTGCACTCTTGACCTGGTTTTCCAACCAATTTGGTTTTAACTTAGAATGATCATAAGGATCAAATAGAAGTTGTCCCACCAAAACTCCTTAAAGGTAGCTCATGTATAAGAATGAAAATTCCAACTTTGGAGAACTATAAAGACGTTAACGTTATGATCAAGCTTAGATCTTTAGGCATGATAAGGAGGCAGTAGACAGAACTTTGTCTCACTTCCCCATAATACTACAATGAAATCTACAGAGAGACATTCTCCCCATTGTAAAAAGTTAAATTATGGAATTTACTGCTACCAGATGCCCATTGACTTAGATGACTAATCCTCCTTCACTGTTAACTAAAATCTCAAGGCTGAGTCAGAATATTGCTGAATATCACAGGGTGGAAAACAAACAAGGACACTTGCTTGCTTGGGGTTGGAATGTAAGCAGAGTAGTATCATTCCTTGGGCTGATCTGCATAAAATTGCACTGATGTTCTTCAGCTAAATCTGGGGACTTGGTAGCAAGAAAGGTAAATTCTAGGAATGCTTGAATTTCAAGCGATATGAAAAAGTCTGTTAGAATAGCCGTGATGGACACCTTAAGATGCTGTTCCTTCTTTGGTTCTTTGGTCAGCTGGCGGGTCAAACAATAGTTGTGAAGAGATGAGTGTATTTGTTCAATTTAAAAGCTGCTTCACTCATCGGAGTGATATAGGTATTGTTTTATTAAAACAATTTTATTAAAACAATACCCCATGTAGAAAACTGTAACAATCAATAACAAGACATATATAGAACACTATCAGGGAAGAATAGGAACATCAAGAACCAAGGAATAAAATCCTAGTAGCAATGCGGTGTCATAGATCATGGTGCCCGAAGGTCTGTTGAATGGGCCACATTTTAAGGGCTTTCCTAAATGATCATGGGGTTAGAGCCACGTGGACACGGGGAGAGTGTGTCCCACAGGATAGACGCAGCCACGGAAAAGTCATGTCTCCAAGGTCCCACAAGGAGACATCATTTTAATGACAGGCCCTAGAATGTGCCTGCTTTATTAGATCTAATGAGGTGGACAGACAAGCGTAGAATCCTTGTTACAGATTGGGAGTTGGTTATTTTTTCATCTTTAAGGATTTTTACCACTAAAATACCAAAACAAGATATAAAAACTGAATAGTCGCTTGTCGTCTTAATCATGGATTAGATTGTAGAACAGCGTTTCTCAACCTCAGCAACTTTAAGAAATGTGGACTTCAACTCCCAGAACTCCCCAGTCAGCATGTGGGCTGGGGAATTCTGGGAGTTGAAGTCCACACATCTTAAGGTTGCTGAGATTGAGAAACACTGCTGTGGAATGTAATACCATGGTTCTGAGTTTTAAATATGTGGCATCTATTTACATGTAAAGATGCTTGGGATTTGTCCATCTTCCCTGAAAAGAGAATGGATCTCACGTGGTGACAGTATATTATTCCGTAAACGTGGGGCAAGTAAAGGGAAAATTCCATATCACCTGCTCACAATGGATGGATTTAACTAAATTTTCCGGCACCCCATTTGTCCTTTTCTTGCTACACCTTATTGAGTTCACTTTTGCTGCAAGCTTTCTGCTCCCTCTCAAGATCTCTTTGATCCCAGTCCAATTTAGACCTCATAGGTGATACTTCGTTCTGTGAGCAATGCAAATAAAGAGGAGTTTTCCCCATTAACATCAAAACAAATAAGGCCTCGATCTCCCTCACTTCTATTTGCATCAGAAATGCAGCAACGTATAGAAATCCTCATCATCTCAAGCTTGGCATCATCCATGTAGGCTTTGCAAAAACTCCAGTTAATACACCTTGAGCAAGATTATGCAATTTTGTTACTGCAATAAAGATATATTGCTTATTACATAAAATTTATGCAGTTGAACGTGTGTGACTGAAATAGATCCACCAAAGCACCTAATAAGACTAACATGTTTTGATAGTGCAGTACTTCACTTTTGATTCTAAAGGTGCTTTGGAGCGTGCAGGCATCTGTCTGCAGCTAGTTACAGGAGCCATGTCTCTTCCGCAGAGTGAACAACCTCAGGAAAAGACCTGGCTGCTTTAAAAATTTGCAGACAGATTCATGACCCCATCTGAACCAAAGCATCTTTTAGGATCAAAAGTGCTGCCCACCCCGAATCATTGTAACAAAATTAGAGAGAAGTCAATCTCTGCCCACCCCTAAATGGAAGATTTGTTCTTCAGAGGAAGAGCCAAGAAGATTATTTTTGCCTCTGTTCTAGCATCCAGAGGCTGTATCCGGAGGCCATTTCCTGGAAAAGAATTGCCAAAGAATACCCTGGAATCTAACTTGCTTGTGTCCCTGGGCTTTGAAATTGCTATATGAAAGAGAACCAAGCAGATTCAACAGTGGTGTTCTAAGAGGCTTCAAGGCCATGAGATATAAGGTGGCGATTTTTACCTAGGGAATGTGTGGAGAGCATCCATGACCATTCAATGGCATGTGGTTGCTGGTGATCTTTCTTCAAATTGGAGAGCTCAACCTTCTAGGAGTTTTTTTTCCCCCCTGTTGTGAATGAGCCTAAAAGCACAACCTGGTGTCCTTCAGAGACCACAAACTACAACTCATTTGGACCATACTGGGTAGAAATTATGGAAGTATCCAGTTGATCTCAAAGTATCACAAGGTGATGAAAGTTAGACCTTCCTACTCAGAGGTTTAAACTTTCAGGATGCAGATTTTTTTCTGATTTCTATTCCTTTTCCTTTCTTTTGCTCATCTTAGGGGCTAGCCTTGATGGGCAACCTTCGTCTAGAGGTGAAAGCTCATGAATGTGTATATATTTCAGTTTAGGGAGACTCGGAATACAAAAAATGCCTTTATCATAGAATTAAAATAAGAGACGAAGTAATAAATATTAGCACCAGTGGATAAAATACATAGTCATATCAAGGTCTAAGGGAAATGGGAGCCCTTGCACAAAAACAGTAGAAAATGTCAAATACCTGGAGTACAGTCTAACAACTCAAGGTATTAATTCACAGTGCTAGTTTGTATCTAGATCCAATAATGTTTTCAAGGCACCCTTCAAGGTATCCTGAAGTCCATCTAATCAAGTAGTTTGTTCAGCTAATCCTTCAGAACAAAAATAAGTTTTAGACTTTTCCAAGGAAAGATGACCTGAGTGTTAAAAAAACATGTTTAGGGTGAAAAGGGGATATAGCAAAAGATGTGCAGATTTCTTCAGAGAATGTATGGATAATTAATTCCAGGAATGGAACTAGCAATGCAGTCTGGGAAGAAGACCTATAAAGCAGATTCGCAAACCTGAGATAGCTAAAAGCAATATATTTAATAAACTGTCCTAGAAGGAATGGATCAGAATTCTCTGACCTGGGAAGAGATTGTGCCATGGTGAGAGTATAGAAGGTTGTTCATCATGGATCATTGAGAAGTTATTTCATGTAATCAATTCAATTCCATAGTGAAGTTGCCACAAGGAAT